CAGGTGATTCAGTGGTGGTCGGACATTGTGCATGGAAGGTAGAAAAACCGAGTAATAGCTGATTAGTCCCAAGAAGGAGCACAACGAGGGTACATCTTTGGGAGTCGGCATTTGTTGAATAGCACGGACATTCTCAGGGCCCGGATGCCGACCAGAGGCATCAAAGATAAAACCGAGATACTTGACTAAAGTCAAATAAAACTCACATTTTTCTTGGCGAAGTCTGAGTCCGTTATCCTGAATCCGGTGGAGGACTTCTTCGATCCGCTTGCTTAACTCTTCTTGCGAAGTACCTACGATCAATAGGTCATCGAGGTATGCTGCCACTCCAGGAATGCCGGCCAGAATGGTGTCCATAATCTGTTGAAAAATGGCGGGAGCGGTCTTGACTCCAAAGGGTAGGCAGTTGTACTGGAATAAACCTCGATGGGTATTGATGGTCAGCAGTGGGCGGAACTCTGAAGCGACTTCCAGTTGTAGATAGGCATCAGCCAGATCGAGTTTCGCGAAGTATCTTCCGCCACTCAGAATTGTGAATAGGCCCTCTGGGGTTGGCAGAGGGTAGTGATGTGTTTCTAGAGCTGCATTTAGACCAGTGGAGAAGTCTGCGCATATCCGGATTGAACCATTAGCCTTCTTTACCACAACGATTGGGGCCGCCCAGGCTGAATATGAGACCGGGGATAGGACACCTTCGTGTTCAAGACGTTCTAATTCAGCGTCAACTAGCGGTAGCGATGCGTATGGGACCGGTCTTTTTGGACGGAAAACCGGTTTAGCGTCCGGCGGAAGGCGAAGGGTAGCCTGTGCCGTAGAACAGTGTCCCAATCCAGGTTGAAAAACCGTGGTGAACTCGTTGATGGTGTCCGCGGTATTTTCGCCAACTTGAGTCGACAAGTGTAGGGCATAGCAGATGGAGCTGATCGGGATATCGGCCAAACCCAATTGTTCGAACCAATCCAGACCAAGGAGGTTCAGGTTGGCGTTGAAGACATAACACGTTCCAGTGAAGGTTGTTCCGCGAAAGGAAACACAGCATTGCATTTGGCCGCGAAAGTGAATTTCACCGCCGCAGGCACTGATTGCCGTTTCAGAGGTGTTCCTGAGTGGAGGACTTCCGATGGAGCGCCATTGACTTTCCGAGATGATGGTAACATCCGAGGCGGTGTCTAGCTGCAGACGAACTGGATAACCATTGATGAGGACGGTTGTATACATCCTCTGCTGCTGTGAAATGTCTTCGGAGGTGACTCGTAGGCTGAGAGATGAGATTGTGCGGCTGGCTGGTTTGGATTTTGACCTTTCCTTCGTGTGAAGGTGAGGGTGCCATCCACTCCTGTTAGACGGGGATCATTTGCAGTATCCGTCCTTGTGACCCTTAGCTTTGCATCGATGCTGCTTGTAAGGGCAGAACTTGACATAATGAAAGGCTCTACAGTGCCAATACTCGGAAGGAGGAGTGTCCCTTGATCTTCTTCGACGATTTGTGTCGGCTGATTCTCCTTTCGATTTCGGGTGACGAGGGCTGGGAGGGCCAGAAGTGGGAGGTTTTCTTTGATACGTCGAACCCTATTGACTTCAGGAGCACTACGGCCGCCAGATTGGACCATTCTGGAGTCACGCAGCAAGCTTTTCCAGTGTAGGTATTCATCACGAATATTATCCAGCGTCACAGAGGGATTTTGGTCAATCAGGTGTAGCAGCCGCGTTTGCAGATCCGTGTATTTAGGGATTTGAAGGCTGCATATGAGAATGAATTTTGAGCTGGTCATCAGCCATTGATTTGAATTGACTTTTCTCGCACTCTAGATTGACCACTGCCAGATGATCAAGGAAGTCGTCAAACTCTCCTATTGCGAGTTTGAGGCATTGGTACCGGGTACTGAATAAGGAGGTGTGTTCTGCAAACCTACTCTTGCGATTTTGAATATTTTCTCCAAAAGTAAAGTCGATCGAGGACTTTGGGAGGATCGTGTCGGTGTATCTCTTCAATTCAGCTGGGCCCAGTTTGCGGGTAAGGAGTCTGACTTTCCATGCGTCATCCTGGGACGCGAGATCGACTCGGAACAGGTCTTCGTAACGACGATACCAGGACTCGAACGTTACGCCGTTCTCCGGATCATAGGAAAACTCCGAGATACTGTTGCTGAGGCCGTCAATTGATGACGTACTGGCAGGAGCGGCCTGAGACGACTGGCGATCTACCAGCATTACCACTAGCCGCTCGAGTAATTGTCCCAACCCTAAGTCACTCATCACAAGAAAAATCTCACCCACGTCGCCAAATTTATTACGTTTGCCCGTAACAATAGAGAGGACCACTCAAATAACGGTACCAGATCCCTCCATGAGAAAGCTAGAACAAGACCAGAGCTCGAGTAGAGAGCTTTATTCACGTCAGCCACGTGCAGAGAAGAAGTGAAATCGAAAGTAATTCAATTCAATTTTGACCTTGACTTGATAAAAGCGTAACAAAACAAATGTTAATAAATTAATGTAAATAGAATCAGAAACCAATCTTAGGGAATCGTGGATCCACAACAATAGCAGAAATTTTCTTTGTGGTCATGGTTTTTATGCTAGAAGAGAGTGCACTTATTGGACTGCACAAACTATAACGCAAAGTGCACAATCTGCACATTTATATTGCCATGATAGCCTCAAGACATAGCCTTAATATTGTCATATTTTGAAGCTGCAAATTCCTCTTGAAAATGATGCAGGTAAATTATGTTTTTATGCGTCAACGCTCACAGACATAAATGTTCGCATACGCTTTCATTCATTCAATTTTGGTGATATTTCTACATTTTTCAAAATTTAAGCAAAGTTAATGCTAGAAACTCAATTGATTCGGGGTTTCTTGGCTTAAACGCCTTTTTAAGAATCAGTAAGTATAAACAGTGCTGAGTAGCCCAAACGGGCCAATTCAATGCAGCAAACTCAGCGTGGTTCACGACAACTTGCCATATGTCCTCAGAAATTCCATTTCCAGTGCATTTATTACTACCCTACATGATGACTGTTTTAAGAGCGTGCTTCCAATCATGTGTTATCTTATACCTGCATGGGAGTGTTTGCCGATGACGAAAGTCAATTGTACCTCGCTCCGACATCAAAGGTAGACACCATCCAAAGTGCCCTTATAATTGTGGGATTCAGGGCTTTTCGGTCTAAACTGTTCCGACGTGCCTGTAAATTTCCTCTTTACTTTGCGCCAATAAAATCATTGTTTGTTTGATCGTAAACCGCATTTTTAAACGCGTGTTTCTGTGTTTTGCGATTATGTAATGCGAGGTCGTTCACCTAATTTGTGCAGTGAACCACGTGAGTAGGTCGGTCGGTGCATGATTATGTCCAAAGCCATGCAACCAATAACAATTGGCTTACCCTGCAGTCTGCATTTATGGGTCCACTGACGATCACGACTATCTCAGCACGAGATCACCTCCGCGGCTGTGTTCTGGTGGGCATTATGTTTTCATTGTAGAAAAACAAAGGCTACTGCAGAAGAGGTTATCCTAATTTAGCGATGGCTTGTGTTTAGCTACTGAGCGCAAATTGTGGAAAGTGTCAGTTAGCAAAGTAATTCTTTCTCTGAACACTGCGATCCGGCTAACTGTTCCCTTACCCCATTTGGGCACTCATTTCTATGTGCTTTGCGCAGTAATTCAGTAAACTATCTATACGAACTGACTGAGGGAATCAGTCAGTTCGTGTTATATCTCCAAGTAGTGTGTTCCAGGGGTTTCCGACACGAACGCAGTTGTTGATGCACATTCAGTTTTCGACAAATGCTCAAGGCTAATCTGCTAGTCCAATGTCACCTGACCATCGTGCTTTGGTGCCAAATGCAGAATTATGTGTTATGCCGAGGTTGCAGGATGCGTTAATGGAGGTGTAGGTGAACGCCTACTCATCGTTACCCGAGGTTGCCACAGTGAATTCTAGAATGACGAGGAGGACAACACGCGCACAATCCCAATTTTTAGCCAGCCTGGAATCTCAGAAGTAAGTGAGTAGGACAGTGGCTCCCAAACTACGTTCTATAAGCTACACTCTTCATAGACTCAATGCAGGGTCCTCTGTTCAAATCTATAGTGGAGAGTAGAAATCTGTCGCACAACACCGCCGAGGCTCTAATGGGCCCTAGTAGGAAGGAGACTGTCACAACGCCTTCCAATCCAGGTGTTTGGAGTTTCCATGGATGGAAGCTTGCTTCTGTGTGAGGTTAGGATGACCGACTAGCACGTGACCCACATACAGATGACACAATTGCACACTGGTACGTAAGGTTATATTTAATTTTCCGACACTTGAATGAGGCATTGAAGGCGTCTCCGCTGAAGGCAAGTCACGACGACACCAAAGTGGTCGACTAGAATGACGCTAAACATACCTTGCCAAATGGTTTAATTGTCGCCATCGTCGGATATCTTATCAAAGAGCTCACTCACAGCAGAAGGGCTTATACCTCAAAAGTTTAGTATTCAAAGACACCGGCAACTGACACTGCTCCCAATTAACTGGAGGATGCCTTAATAGTTTCTCATGACTATTTTTCCCTTCAATTGAAATCACTTAATCACGCCACCTCAACCCGTCGCACTGTTTAAAAGCCTCATCCATCAGGACAAGGTCATCGGGGGTGTATCTAGTCCCCCCCCCCGCTGATGCGTCACTCCCACTTCGGTTGTAGCACGAGGTCACGCCTTTGACCTGAATGCGGAAAATCGGGTTTGTGTTAGGGAGTGGATTTTCACATCGATTCCCTGAATGTGTGGCTTTGGCTTTGCACAAAAATTAACATTTGCACTCAGCAAGCAAACACAATTTTTGTTTATTTAGTAGCAACGGTTGGTCAAACGTCATTAAACCCACCCAAAACAATTAAACATGCCATACATTCTTAAATTAAGAAATTAGCATTATTACACAGAGAGTCAACAAGATGCATGGGCGACAGCAGCAACAGCAGCAGAGACCGGTTAGAAAAGCCCATTTAATAAAAGGGAAAAACAACCTAACAGAATCAACTGAAACACTGCAGTGCAGCTTGTGAACGCAAATATTGATAAAGTTCTATTAGAACACAAAATGGACCGATTAAAGCAACGGAGATTGCCGTCAGCAACGCTGCATTTGTAGTGGACGGTGGGTTAATCTTGGAGGAAGGGACCTGGGTAGGCATTGGTAGGATGGCATCCGGCGGATGGAAGACAGGACAAAAGATTGATGACAGGGGGGTAAATAAGGGCTAGACGAATTCGCGTCGTGGGTGCAGCGACAGGATCAAACCGATTAGGAGCGACAGGAGGAGGTGGAAATTAGAAACGTCTTCATCAAGACAAGGCAGGAGGCACAAAACCGAGGCGTTGAAAAGGGCGATTTGGGGTTTGCACCAAAGAGGTGGGATGAGCGATTGGAATGCATTTATGCTTGACGGGTAAGTAGGCCGGCGAGAGAGGGGGAGGGCTGATGGTCACCGCTTATGACAGCGACGGCATTCAAATTACGATGCAGGAACTCAAGAAGACAACGAAGCACGTGTGAAGCAATGTGACTGAGGCGGGCCAGGTGGCGCCGTCTTTTCCGGGTTCGCTCAGACCCTCAAAGTCACGGCTTGCAGCAGCTGGAGGTAGGAGTTAAAGGGTGAGGTGAAAGAGGAGACGAAATTCTCTAAATAGACTGGTTTTGGCAAATCGTAGTGCGCTTCAACGCGAACTAAAACTTGTGATGAACCAAAACTGATGCGCAGCACCGGGTCTCTTACACATTTAAGTTGGCCCAAACTCATAATTTTACTGGCGGGAAAGTGTGATGGAATTTACCGCCAATTAGAATTTGCATTTAATTGTGAGAAGAACACTTAATTTTGGTGTTTTATCTTTCGACGAACCATTCGGAACTTCACAATTCGTGGGTGGAGACTCACGAGGTTCAAAGACACGGCGCCACGAAAACGTAGAAAACGCTAGCCTACTACACCCATCAGATTAAAATAAATATGCGTATCGTTAAATTAACCATATGTTTTGATAAGCACGTATTTGATACCTTGTATATAACGTAGTCGCGAAAAATTAACTTACCGAGTAACGCCGCAGATGGCGGATGTTCTAGAAGAGCCGGGTCAATTCTATTGGAACCTGAAATTTAGACAAAAATGACATAAAATGATTGTAACTTAAAGCAACTGTAAATCTTCTCGAACGTAGTATTCGCAATATTACCCAAACATCTAGTTTTGTGAAGGCATGGTAAAAACCTATTCGTACTGATTATCTGTAAGTAGAAATGTTGTCGACTGACTATCATCTTTGGGTGTTCGGAAGGTGACGTGGGGAATTTCACTCGAGCCATTGCTGCAACCGTACTGATTGCAGGCAGAGAGGTAGATTCGGTGTTCTGAGTTGTGCGAGAGGTTGGAGATGTGATGCCAGAATTCCTGCCAGTCTGATGCGTTTGTGTTTGCCTTGGCCACCAGTTGGTCTTCAAGCGAAACCGTTTTGACTTTCCCCTTCGATTCCAACTCCACCGTGTCCACTCCACCGGCACTCTTTTCGGTCTGAAAAAGAAACACAACTCGCACACATCACCAATCACCCCCAAACAAGGTGAGCTTGCTTCCGATGTTTGAAATTAAAAGACCTCCTGGACGTAAATGTCCAGTTGTGTGACTTTCGAAGATGCTGCAATTCAAGATAACAGTCCTTAGTCAAATTCCGAAAGTGTAGGTTCGCAAAATGACAAATCTCTCTTTTCGTCTACCAGTGCTGCCAAGCGAAATGCCTGACAATCGAGGTGGCGAATTTGATGCTCTCTCACATACGATTACTTGTGCATTGAATATTTTCAACGCGTTTGGCTGAAAATCAAACCCGGTATTCGCACATGAGACCAACGAATTCTTCTGGCTGATATACGGTGATGTCGACTTTGCTGCCTTCGTTTTGCAGAACTTGCTGAAAGAGAGGATGGTTAAGTAGCCCTACGTAACTATGGATAATAAATTGAACTACTTTTTGTCTGTTCCTCAGACGCAGCCCTGGAATCCGCTCTTAAGGATTCCTATTAACAGATCTCAAAAACGCAACGAACTCCAGCCTCGATAACGAATCTGCCGCGAAAACGCGTTTTGGCGCACGCAATTTGCGCGTAAAGTTTTTAACGTGAGTCTCGTTAGTTAAGCCATCAGCTGTCGTTTTTGGCCTGTCTACTAGATCTACCTACTTGGCGATTCCCGACACATAAATTATGCCCGCTACGCTCAACGACATAATGATGACTCAGCTGTCGAGCCTTCTGCTCAGCTTTTTGCTTATTAATGAGTGAAAAAAGGGCTGCCCATTTCCCATGGCAACAACACAAATTAGGCCACCTGTACACGGGAACACGGTGCTTTGGGAGTATTCCCAAAGTCCACGATAGGCGCCAGAGATAAGTGTGCACTTACCGAATGAATACGAAAAGTAACGTTCCGCAGTGGCGACTTGGATCTGGAGCGCCATCCAAGTAAGTAGTAATCGGCGTGGTTGGCAAATTTGGGTGAGATCACTTCTGGCGGCGACGGACTTACTACAAGAGCAACAGAGTAATGAATACTGGAAATTCTAAAATCGTAAGTAGCTGTTTTGTCAAGAAGTTAAATCGTACATGTTAATCGTACAGTCACTGTTGAACTGCCGAGTTCATTCACAGCAGAACACTTGTAATCGCCGACATCCTGTTTCTTCACCTCGTGCAACCTGAGGTGGTAGGTGCGGACGCCTTGCTTCTCCCCGGGCACAAGTTCCAATTCCCGCGGCTCGTTGATGTTCAGAAGGTCACAGTTAAGCTCAGGAGGGGGATTACCGTAAACAGTGATCTAACAGATAGAACAGTCAATGAAACCCATTAGATAGGCCGTGCCAATCATTAGGCAATACATTCCCATGCTATCAACAGATGGGTGCAAAACGTACCGCTATATCCTCGGTAGCACCCAATTCAGTGTAAACTGCATTGTTTTTTATTTCTAGTCGAGGTGGATCTACAAAGCCAAAGTAAGTGGCAAATAGGTTATCCTCAGACTTGAAGCTCATTTAATGTTAGTCAGATGGTAGTAAGAACCGACCCCGCAATTCAGTCTTGTAGCACCAAACTATGCAGGCCTTTTTTTGGTTCACAATATCATACAAAAACCATCAATTTTAAAGTCAGGCATCAGCATGTCGGTGGATCGCCGTGTCTCGGGAGTTCGTTAATAAAAATAAACGGTTCAAACGGCCGGCCGCCACGAACGAGCCCGACCAATAGGAAGGCAGAAACAACTGCAGTGATCAATGGAATCTAGATCTACTGATAAGTTTCAGTAAAAGAGTTCAGAGCAATAAAACTAAATACGGCATCTAACGGTCGATGACATTCATGGTAATAAATTCAAGCGGTTGATTCCTTCAAAATAATATGTTTCCAAGGAGTACCTATGCTGAATTTACCACAGATGAGGCACAGAACCTGTGTAAAGCACTATATATTATTTCCAAAGCCCAGTAAAATACCGGTTTTGCAAGTGTACAGATATTTGAGGGATTGATGTCATTGTGATTGATGCCATAGCTGCACAAGATTAATCAGAGGTGGTCAAGCTGAATACAATGAGCACGGTGTTTCCTGGAAAACCGGTCGAATTTGCATAGGGTTTTTAAATGGTTTGTTTCCAAGGCTACGGTTCCAGAAATTGGGCTTACAAAAATAGTTTAACGAGCTACCTACCAACCCAGCTGAGGTAGTTGAAGGGGTCATCGAAATTTAAAAAAAAACTCGGAACACACGAGTCACTTTCAAAAGCCATAATTTTCACTCGCTTAAACTGACCTGGACTAACGGACATATATTTTTTTTTAAATCTTCGGACGAGTTACTTTGATTTTACATGACAGATGGAATTAGTGTTCATGGGTCAGGTCAATTTCTCAATAAAAACCGTCTTTGCCTAAGGCAAACGAACACGCGGATTCACATTCCCTGGTCATGGTGCAGATTCCGTTCCAGGGGGAGAACACCAATCGATTGAAATGTGCAAGTGTGTGGACCACTGGATGAAAATGCTGAAAGGTTCAAAGTAGGTCAACCGAGGAAATACTAAAATGCTAGGGTGTTAGGGGGGAAATTCCCGTTTTTCTCTCACATTACGGGAAGTACTGGAATTCAAAACTGAGTCTCAGGTGTACCTAAAAGTCGACAAGATTGAGTGAATTTTTAACATTCCTTTTACCGCCCAAGTCCCATGTTGATTTTTGCAACTCGTGCTCGGAAAAAATTAACTAAATTTCAAAGACCAGCTGTATGGTAGGTCAATGCAAAAATGTCGGGACAAATGCTGATGAAAGTGGGGTAATATGAGTGGAATCAAAAGGTAATTGGTGCCAAGTCTTACATCTGGTAAATTCATGCAGAATTAATGGAAAATAAATCTGTGTAGAATGTAGAATGTTATTACCCTAAACCCGTCGTAATGACGCCTGCTAGGCGTCCTAGACGTGACTGTTCGTTGCTCACTCTGATGTTTCATTGGTTGAGGCGTCCCACTTTCTGCGTCTTGCCAATTAATTTTGACCTGCTTGTGACACAAATGCTGGCTTTTGACGTATCAGCACTCAGTGTATGTAATTTGGAACACACGCCATTCTGATCTGTTCTTTGTCCCCGTGTACTCCTCGTCATTCACTTTTACTTGCCTCTCGGCACAAGTCGAGACCAGGCGCTTGTGACCCATACTCTCCGCTCACCAACTCCTCGAAAGACCGACTATCCTTTTCTTTTATTTACACCAACTGTCGACCCACGCACGTCTTTGTTCTCTCACACACCCTTGCGCTGTAATCGGTAGTTTTAAATATACCAGCCGCTCGATATCCTTATATTCCACTATCGTGTAACTGGTTGCCGAACAAGATGGTTTGGCTATACCTGGTAAGTAGCCGCAGGCGTACTACTCCCATGCCACAATCTACAGCAGACTAGGTGGCGTTTGCAAAGTGATCTAATTACTGGCAGTCGAACGGGTTGTGGGACCATGTGTCAGCCAATTCGTAAATATGCCATGAGCGACCTAATTTAAAACTGCGACAAGCAGGAATATAAATTGTAAGAACGCGCCTGTTAGGATTAGGAAAACATAAGTTGGAAGCAGAACAGCTGGTGAATGTGACAGGCGAATGATCAAAATACCGTTTTATGCAATGATAATGAGCTCATAATGCGAACCACACATGTCCCACTGGATTTATCAAGGTTGGTAGTTTTTAGGTGTAATGGAATTACAAAACCGTATTCTGGTATTGTGAGATAACTGCATCGCAGCTGAAGCTAAGGTCAATGACAACACAGCGCAAATCACGAATGTGCACAAAACTACGGAGAGAACTCAGAGAAGGCAACAGAGCACGGCTTAAAATTGAATACAGACGGTCTTAGAACAGGCCAAAGAATTTCTGCAAAAAGAGGCTGGACAGAACTGTCTAGGAGCCAGGACTTTGTCGACGAGTCGACCACTGGCTATCCGACAGTGTTTGACAAAACCACGGCTCTGATCAGGCTAAGCCACTCTAGCTGATCTTGAGAAAACTGCCACCTCAAATGCGATTGAAGTGAGTTCAGATAGCGGCATGGGTAACAAATTTTGGGATGAGTTCGCCGACATATGTTCCAGACTCAACGAATTTGGCGCTAATTCGAAAAACGATCTGGCACATTGTCAATCGAGCACCCTTTTAAGGTCGTCAACTAGTCATTGAAGGAATATGCTCCCAGTAAACATTAGTGGTTTTCTGCTTAATGTGAAAGCAGGTAATTTTTCCATTGAAATGTATCTGAATTTGTCAAGCTAAAATAAAAGTGGTTTGAAACTTGAGAGAAGAACTTGAAATTCTTGAATCTGGGCCAGCTCGAAGCGTTGTGACTAAACGAGGGTAAGATAAGTAGGACAGAAAATCAGAATGAGAAGTCGCATTAACGGGCACAGCGGTCACTAGAATGCCACCGCAAGTCGATTTGAACAACCCAGAAGTAAACTTCACCTTCGTTCACACAGACTCGCCTTCAAAGAGACACAACAGAACTAGAACTGCTAGCTTTCCACGCAATCTGAAAACTGTTCAAGAAAGATTTGGAGGAACGTTTCATAAACCGTCAAAATGTACGTTTGTCTCAAGATAATGCTTGCGTTCATAAACCAATTTCTAACCAACATCGGAAGCGCTTATCACTTAGGTCTTAATTTCTTCGAAGCGCACTAATCATTCGCTAACCTATCATAAGTGATAATATTTTGACCTTTTCGATTAGAGGCCAGAAGACCGAATCAATTTTGTAAAAATTTCCCTAACAAGAATGCAGGCATAAGGCAATACTTTCCGATACTTATTAACATCCTCGTTGTTTGCATTATGTAGCGTAGAGAGTACATGCTATTCTGTTTTCTTCTTGTTAGTAAATTAATTATACGCCAGTGCGGATTATTTTGTTCAGTAATTTGGACTCACTGTTCGCGCTGAAATTGAGGCCAGTGCTGCAATTTGCATGACAGAGTTAAAACGAACGAATTAAAAGCACTGTGACTCAGCAGGTATTTCTGGACATAATAAATACATATTTCATGAATTTCGCAGTAAAAGCGACTTTCAACTGTAACAAAATTGACTTAGCTGAAATGATACGAAAAAAACCCATGTTCAAGATTATCACTGGCACATAGGGGCGTTTCTATGGCTTTTACGAGGTGCAGCGATTAATGATTTAGAAGTGAATGGTGTGCACAAGCATGCGTCTATCGGGGTTGGACCTGGGCATGTCACAACCCGGAAGGGAAGCGATGAGTCATCTTGAAAGTCTCATGTTCCATTGTAACACGCCCAGCATAACCATTCTCCTCAGAGAAGGCGACTAATTAGTCATTAGTCCTGCCCACTTAACAGCAATGAGTCTTTGGCACATCCAAGCAAGTCACTCCCTCTTGCAAAAATTCACTAAGAGACGACCCTTTCTAGCAGGTGCTGTTTGAATAGCACTGTGAGTCGTTGCAGTCTAACTGACCTACCAATGCCACGCATGAAGTCAAAGCACTAAAGCCTTTTTAAGTAACACCAGAAAAGTTTTTGCGTCATCACTGAAGACACAGGAGGTAGACTTCAATGAAATGCCGTCACCTGGTAGTTAAAAATAAACGTTCACGGAGTGGTGAAATGTGGTTTAATCCAACACTTCAAGACAGGACAATTATGTTGACAGGTACAGGGCAAGGTCCTTGAGACAGAAATAGCGATCACCTCTAAGGAGGATATGTCAGTACCACAGAAAAACTCAAAATTATTGGCGAAGCAACGCATGTGGGGTCCCGGTGAGCGCTGAGTGGGCTGGCTAGGCTTCATCGCCCAACTTCACCTAGTCAAGGCAAATGACGCCAATAAAACAAGAATTTTTTGCTCGAAAAGGGCGTTAATCCTATTTTTTAGCTTAATGCCAGTATGCGGTTTACGTTGGCTTAGAAATTATACAAAGTCAAACAACAACAGACTGGGACAATTGAGAGGACGTCGTTTACTTCAAAAGCGGCCGACTTTGACTAGCTTTCACTGCTAAATTGCGCGTGCCTGAATTTACCAACAAAACTACTGCGTACCAGTCTTGCCTAAGTCAAAAGAGCGGATGTGGAGAATTGAAAAGGAAGGACTTGAAGACGTTAAGAAACACAAAATGAAAATTCTTAATAGTAAATGTAAAAGGCTGCACCGCCATGTCATCCTTCCAGTCCTTAGTGCTTGACAAACAAAGAATTCAGATTGTGGATTAAAATAAAATTGTAGTCAGTTTTATTCACACCTAATTCACCTACTGTCAGAAAGCGGGAAGAGCAAATTAAAATCAGATATTTTTGGGTTCTTGTGAAAGTTGGAAAAGACTAGGTGTATTTTTCGCATGGCAAATCACGACTTAGAATGTAATCAACATTTAGAGAACAGTACAAAGTTGCAGGGTCCACAAAAGTTCCACCACGTTCCAAAATCGAGCTAGTGGTGCTAAGTGGTCGTGTCAAGTTATG